CCAATCGAGCTTTCTGCGTGGTGGACTCCGTATCTGCCCTGAACTCTCTCTCTCGCGCTCTCTCTCTCTCTCTCTCTCTCGCTCCTTCGCTCTCTCTCGCTCCTTCGCTCTCTCTCTCTCTCTCTCTCTCTCCTTCGCTCTCTCTCTCTCTCTCTCTCTCTTTCTCTGCAGCAGCAAACAAGGGCTTTGGGACTGTCACAAGCTGCGTTGGCTTGAGTTGCCTGGTGAGTAATAGCTTTGAGGCGTTCACTGGCAGAAGCCGCCCAATGTGTTTCGCCAGCTCTACGCACACGGAGGAGAAGGGCCCGGAGTTGTGTAAATCACGTGGAAAGAGGAACTCGCCGGTCTGTTCGACGGCGGAACTAACTAACGATGAAAAGGACCACTACAGTCAATGAACAGATTATCTCTCTCTTTTTTTATTTTGGTCCGACGCACTCGGAAAACCCAGCGCCGTGCTTGAGTATCCAAACCAAGCTGAGCTTTCCGTACGTGTCACCTACACGCGGAAATAATAATATTAATAATAATAATAATCCTTGGTAGAGCGCGATTGGCCGCCGAGTTTCGCCCACCGTCAGTCAGTTCGCCTCACAGTATATTCTGCGAAGCGCTTTGAGGTGTCCCAATAAAACAGAGCGATAGAGCGGTCGGAGTGGATTTCTGGAGCCAGTGCTGACTGTTTCTCTGCAGTGAGGAGTGTTGCTCACGAGAGGTTTATTCAGGGAGGTCTTTCAGGACGGTCATTAGGCGAGATAGTGCTTCGGTAAGTGCTTATTCTCTTCCCCCCAACCCCCACCCCTCCACCTCTCCCCCACCCTCGCCTCCACCCTCCCCTCCCTCAGCGTTTCAAAGACTTGGAAACCACAAAGGCACTTTCCACCAAATAAATAAAAGATGTGAACAGGAAATGATTGCTTTCTGTATGGATTTCATTCCAGGCTGCCAGGTAGCTCCACATCCCACCCGCTATTCATCTCTTTTCCTTGAGCCGTTGACTCGTGACGGGGTGTATTTGCGCTCTGCTCACACCAGATTTCTAATACAAATAATAATGATGAATAATAATTAATAGTCATTACGTTTGACCCAGCCCCTGATCGCCTCGTCGAGACGCTTCAATGCCTTTCGCAGGATACACCGTCAGGTGAATTGACTGTGTATTTTGCGGGCGAAACGCGGCAGCCAAATGCGCACAGCAGCGCTCTCCCCCCCACCCCCCCCCCTACCCCACCCGGCCCCCGACAAACAGCCGTGGATTGAGTGATGCAATTTATTTTAATTAAGGAGCGATTTTACCCCGGAAAGCGATCCTCCTGACAACCGGGTTCCTACTTGCTGTTAGGTAAACGGAGGCGCGTGTGTGTGCGTGTGCGTGTGTGCGTGTGCGTGTGCGTGTGTGGAGTAAGGAAACTCGCTGAAGGTTTTGCCCCACCCAGGATTCGAACCCCGGTCCTCTCGCTTTGCCACCGAGCTCCGGGAATCCGGGAACACACACACAGAGCGCACCGTTGAAAGCGCTGCCGCCTGGCAAGCTTTCCCAGCTGCTTGTCCAGCTAGGACCACCCTAGCTGTTGGTGTTTTGCTTTCAGGGTTTAATACTAATAATAATAATAATAATAATAATCTTTGCATTTGATTCAGCGGCTCATCACGTCTTCGAGACGTCTCAAAGCGCTACACGGAACACGCCGTGAAGTGAATTGACTGTAAATCGTTGGCAAATGGTGCATGTCCGTTAGCTCAGCGCGGTTCAGGGCTGGCGTTATTCCAACTGCGCCCGTTAATACAGCTTGTCCGGGGTCACCGATCTCAGCACAGCCTCTGGTTCCCCTCTCTGCGATCGGTCCTCATTGCTCGAACCCCATAAGCAATCCAATTAAATAGTCAACCAAAATAGATGGGGAAGTGGGGGGGGGAGTGGAAAATAATGCAAAGGGGTAAATAACACAGGATAAGACCTCGTACAATAGGTTTCTCGCTTGGTATTCAATCCAAATATACCTTCCCCCACACCTCCCCCACCCTCAGAGACACACACACACACACACTCGATGTTTAATTTGAGATATTGGAATTTCCGGGCTTGTGTGTTTCCTCTCTTGTTTCTTTACAGTCTTTCGCTCCGCTCTACCGCGTGTCCTGCCGAGCGCTCCGAGACCTCTCGACGACGTGACAAGGGGCCAAGGATTCCTCCGACCGTCAAGACCCCGGTGGCTTCGCTCCGAGGCTGTCCGCGTGGGGATGCCTCCGTGCGGAAATACGCCCGCCGCGCCTTGACGGTAGACGCCGTGAAGCTTTTCGGGACGTCCTTTCTTTTTTTCGAACGCGAAAAAAAAGAAAAAAGGACGGTCAACGAACTCGGCAGCAGAAAAATAAAACGCTCTCGGAGCACAGAGGTCTCGTGGAAGGAACAGAGGCACGAGGCATAACAATAAAATTCCCACGAAAATCCCCTTCCGCCGTCTTCAAAAGACGGGGGGGGGGGGGGGGAGGTTTAAAAGAAAAAAAGGCTGGACATTAAAGGTGCTTTTACCTCGAGGAGGTGCCTGGAGAAGGTGTCAGTGGATTAGGACGGACACGTGGAACAAGTCTCTCACGTCTTCTACCAGACAGCTCCAGAAATCCACACGGTTACACTCTTAATCACTTACAGTCTCGAGCAGCTGAGATCAGCTTTGGGACTGGATGTAATCCGATCTTCTCTCTCAGACCAAATTGCCATATTTTTTTTGCAGTCCCCCCCCCCCCCCCCCCGAAAAAAAAAAAATAGACTGGGCTTCGCCGCAGTCGGGGATTTTTTTTCTCTGTGTGTGTGCGGTGTGTGTGTGTGTGTGTGTGTGTGTGTGTGTGATATATTCCAAATGTCGTACTTACTGGGAGCTTATTAAACTCTCTCTCTCTCTCTCTCTCTCCTTCTCTCTTCTGCGCTCTCTCCAATCCCTTATTTTGCTCTTCTGTCCACGGGGAGCTTGCTTAGAGTGAGACAGAGGTAACAATAATCACAACTGCAATAATACTACTAGTAATTATAAGCCTTGCATGAGATGCGGCGCCTTATCACCTCTTCGAGACGTCTCAAAGCGCTTCACGGGACGCACTGTAAAGTGGGGTTACTTCGCAGGCACCGGATGTATCGTGGTATACACGATAAACGCCCCCAATCTAACGCAATCAGACCCCACCCCACCACTCACCCCCACCACCCCAACCACCCACTGGCCCCTTTCTGCCCCCACCCTCTGGAACTCCGTCCGAGAATCCCTCCACCTCACCCCGTCCCTCCCTCCTCTCCTTCAAGGACCCATCTCGAGACTTCCCTCTCCGACCGGGCTTTCGGACATTCCTCCTACACACACCCCCCCCCCCCCTCCCACCCTCCTTGCCCTCCACCCCTCTTGACCCCGACCCGCAGCTCGGGCGCAAATCCCTGACTATCTGCACGCCTTCGGGCGTCCTCCCGGCGCGAAAGGCGCCGGGCGGGACGTCACTCGTTGTTGCTGTCGAATGTCCTCCCTCGGCGACACTCGCATGGACTGCCGGGATTATTTTTTTTCAGATCATCAGCGATTATTAATTATTATTGTCCGTCCGCGTTCGGGACAACAGAACGGCCCGACCGTTCACAGCGAAGGCGCGGCAATCAACAAACGCCGCAAAAAAAGACGCGCGTCGTGGGATTTCACGGCAACATTAATGAACAATAACAACAACAACAATATCTAATACTCCCCGGGCATTCGACACGGCGCCTGACCGCGACTTCGAGAGACGTCTCGACCCGGGCGTCGGGTGGGAAAGCGCGGGCGGGGGGGCGGGGGGAGGGGGGGCAGATTATTCTGTCCGTTTTTTTAAAAAAAATACAACCTTCGTCATGAAACCTGGAGCCGTACGTACGTTTTTTGTTCGCTCCCCGCGCGCCACCCCGCCCGCCCTCCCTCCCTCCCCGCCCGCCCGCGCCCCCCCACCCCCCACCCTCCCCCACCCCGAAGAATAATAAAAAGACTCTCGAGACGCACGCGGACGCGGTCTGTGAAATCCATTGAGCGCGGGGTCTAACATTTGTGCGCGTACAGTAGTTTCTGGTGATTAATAGTCCCAATGTTTCGCTTGGTTTGGAAGGCAGTAGTGGTGTGTGTGTGTGGGGGGGGGGGGGGGGTGGGGGGTGTGTGTGTGTGTGTGTATGTACACCTAATCCCTCCCCCTCTCTTTATATATGACACACCATAAGATTTCTCACCAAAAAACACAGGCAAAGTGAGGGGAGGGGATCAGCACAAGACAGGGGACACAGGGCAGGACCTCCCACACCCCATCTTACCCCATTCCCCCCCCCCCCCCAATTCCCCCTCCACCCCCCACCTCCCCCTCCCACTCCCCCCCCAAAAAAAAATAGCTTCATTGCTTTTGCAAAGTTTGGAGGAGAGGGGTGGTGTGGGGAGGGGGAGGGGGGGGAGAGGTGGGGGGGGAGAGCTGGGTGGGGGGGGGGGGAGGAAAAGAAAAAGTTTTTTGGGTGCAAAAAAAAATTGGGGAAATAAGGATTAATTTTTTTGGGGGTGGGGGGGGGGAGAGAGAGAAGGGGGTTAGGGGGGAAAGTGTGGTGTGGGGGGTGGGGGGTGGGGGGTGGTGGGGGGGGGGTTAGGGTCCATGGATCAGGTCGCTGGGGGGTGTTTGAGCAGTACCCACTCGCTGTGGGGTGGGGGTTTGCCCCACTACCCCTCCCCGTTCGCTCTGTACAAGAAGCCGGAGGCGCAGGGCTGCCCCGGTTACCCGGACTTTCCGGGTCCCGGTCCCGGTCCCGGTCCCGGTCCGGCGGTGCCGACCGCCCACGGCTTCCCCGGGGAGGGGAGGGGGGGGGTCCACCCCCACACCGACCCCCGGTTGGCTCGCTACGGCCGCCCGGACTGGCCGCACCGGGACAGGGAGCGCAGGGGGGGAGCGGGTGCGGGCGGTGCGGGGTGTGCGGGTGCGGGGGGTGCGGGGTGTGCGGGTGCGGGTGTGGGTGCGGGTGCGGGCGGTGCGGGTCCGGGCGGCGGCTCCACGGCCATCCCCACCGGGTACGCGCTTTGCGCACCGCAGATGCCGCTCCTGTCCGACTACCGCAGCTCCGGGTACCCGGACACCGGGACAGCGCTCAAGAGGAGACGGGACGTTTTAGGTGAGTGTCTAAATATATATATATTATATTATATATCTCTATATATCTCTGTGTTATCTCTATATATCTCTATATCTCTATATATCTCTATATATCTCTGTGTTATCTCTATATATCTCTATATCTCTATATATCTCTATATATCTCTATATATCTCTATGTTATCTCTATATATCTCTCTGTTATCTCTATATATCTCTATGTTATCTCTATATATCTCTCTGTTATCTCTATATATCTCTATGTTATCTCTATATATCTCTATATTATCTCTATATATCTCTATGTTATCTCTATATATCTCTGTGTTATCTCTATGTTATCTCTATATATCTCTATATTATCTCTATATATCTCTATGACATAATATACATTTGTGCGTAACACACTATTTATATTTATGTGTAATATATTTCACGTATCATTTTATTTCTTTAGGTGTGTAATGTATTTCGTTATGTGATTTTATTTATATGTAATGTATTTCAAGTGTCATTTTATTTGTTTATATGTAATGTATTTCATATGTCATTTTAGTTATTTCTATAATGTATTTCATATATAATTTATCTTTATGTAATATATTTCATATATCATTTATATTTATACATAGTACATTTCATATATAAGTATATTTATTTATATATATTTAATACCTCATTTATATTTATATATAATATAGATTTATTATAGTATATATAACTTGTTGTTCCTCGATTGTGGTTAAAATCAGAATAATGTTCGTCATATTATTTTTTGATTATTATATTAATAATCCCTAATAATCCGTTATTTGCGTCTAATGCTCATGATTCCGCCCACTTGTTTGCGGGGCGTGGGGTGGGGGGGGGGGTTGGCGCTCAGCAAATACCCCCCACCCCCCACTTTGGGACTCCTTTCTGACCTGAAAAGGGGGTTCTCTCTCCCCCCCCCCCACCCCCACCCCTCCCGCCCACCCCCCGTCAAGCCGCGCGGTTTATAGTCCGCGAAGGGCTTTTTTTTTGGAGACGTCTCGAACACGCGGTAAAGGGGCTGGGTCACACGCTAGGGCTGTTGTTGTTGTTGTTGTCGTTGCTGTTGCTGTCGTTGTTGTTGCTGTCGCCGTCGTTGTTGTCGCTGTCGCCGCCGCCGTCGTTGTTGTCGCTGTCGCCGGCGTTGCTGTTGTACCGATAATAATCCGCGCGTCTGATCCCGCCTTCGCGACGCCTCAAAGCCCGCGGCGGGTCACGCACGGCCAGGAGCGAAGTGACTGTGCGTCATCGGCGAGCGGAGCTTCGCCACTCGACCGCGGCCGTTGCTGAATTTTGCCACATTTGGCCGCGGGCGAACCGTGTAATACACGATGCCCGTGTGCGCGAGAATTATCGGCGCAAAATAATAATGATAATAAGGATAATTAATGATAATTCGTAGCGGTAATAAACCTCGTATTCACGCTGTTCACGCAGACATTTAATTAGCGATCGGAAAAGAGAAGGGCCTCTCTCTCTCTCTCTCTCTCTCTCTTACCCTCGCTCGGTTTCCCGGCTCACAGATAAAATTATCCCCCGGATAAAATTGGTCGCTCGCTCGGCTCCGTGGCTGTTCGTGGGACATCCCTGTGCGCAAATCATCTGCTGCATTTGCCTCTAAAAGAACGCAGTAATTATTCACGGTTAAACCCTCACGAGTAGCTTTGAGACGTTATCATTTATTTTGCGCTGTTGAATTGTCCGCGATGTGTTGCCGTTGAGTCTACGGGTTTCCCGTGTGGTTCCGACGTGGTCGAAATCCCCTTTCGTCGGCTGAAAGTTTGGGGGTAAATATTCAGAGCTTCTACAAAACCTGCAATTTTTAAACCTCGAACCCCAGAAACTGGCAGCGCCGAAAGGAGAGAGCAACACGGAGCCATTAGGCACAGGACCAGGTTCTTTGGGCCGACTGGTCTGTCGTAATAATAATAATAATAAAATAATAAATCTTATTATTATCGGCGTCTCAAAGCGCTTCACAGGAAGTACTGTACGGTGAGTTGACTGTGTATTTTATGGGCGAAATGCGGCAGCCGATTGCTCACAGCTCATCCCCGCAAACAGCCGTGGATTGAATTGACCAAATTATTCATTTATTTTAATTTAAATTTTTTTTAAGGGGTTATTACTCCCCCCCACCCCTTCCCTCCCCCCCCCGGAACAGCGATCCACCAATCGACTAACAACCGTGTTCCCTACTTACTGCTCGCGGTGAACAGAGTGGTGCGGAGCAACGAAACTTGCCCAACATTTCGTCCTGACCTGACCTGACCTGACCCGCCCGGGGACCGAACCCAGGTCCTCTCGGTTGCGAGGCCAGGGCTCTAACCGCCGAGCAACGGGACTCCCAAGAAAAAAGTTTGCTCCAAGCTCTGAAAGTTTATCCTGAGTTTGCACGAAGCTGTGGGTGTAAGAGCGAATGGGAGTTAAAACGGTCAGAGAGAGAGAGAGAGAGAAAGAGAGTTAAAATTTAATATAATAATTCGGATGATCTCATTTATCAGACGTGCGTCTCATGGTTATGACATGTCGACTGGTTTCCCCGATCGGGTTGCAACCTTGTGACTCATTCCCATCTCCTCCCACCCCGCGTTTAAGTTAGATTGGATCCTAATTAAGTTATGGAGGCATTAAAATTCTCGGTTTTCCGTGTAATTCACACCGTAGGGGAACGGACTTCTCCCCCAAATCCGTTCAGGACAGGGCTTTTTTTAGACGCGATGCTTTAGATCGTGTTCGACAGACCAAAAGCGTCACCCAACTCAAAACCCCCCCAAAAAACTGGCGTCAGCGGGAAACCAAACCGGTAGCAAAGCAAATCGTAGCAGAAGCGATACCTTAACGTCATGTGGAAACTGCGTTAATCGGACATTTATTAACCGTGACGTTTTTTTTCACCCCTTGCCAATTCTCCCCTCGCAAGCGCCGTGGTCTGGATGTATATTTATTTAATCAATCCCTCCTTCCTCCCACCCTCCTCCACCCCACCCCCCCCCCACCCACCGAAAAATAAGATGGTGGTTTGATCCGCGACCGTTTGTGGGGACGTCGCCTCGCGCAATGGGCTGCCGTGTTTTCGTCCCACAAAGCACACAGTCACTCCACTTGGCAGTGCATTCCGCGCGGCTCTTTTGAGAGGTCTCGACGTCGTGGTAAGGCGCTGTATCAAACGCAAGGATTATTGCGATTATTATTATTATTATTATTATTATTATTATTATTATTATCGCCGTGGGCTCCTGAAAGTTACCGCTGGTGTTCGATCCTAATTTTCCTGCCGTTCAGGACGAACTGTATTTTAGGAACACAGGAACAGGAGGAGGCCATTCAGCCCCTCGAACCTGTTCCGCCATTCTATTAGATCACGCCTGAGCTGTACCTCAACTCCAACTGCCCGTCTTTGCCCCGTATCCCTTGATTCCCCCGACCCAACGACTCTCTACCCCTGGGTACCCTCACCTCACAAAACTCTGCGATCAGGTGCTGCGAGAAAGGCGAGGATTATGAGGAGAGCGTTCAAGAATGTCATTAGAAGATGCTTCGGGTTTACGTAGGAGCACAGGCATGCACAGCCCCTGGAAAAAAAGCTCATTTCTCTCCCAATCTGGCTGCTCCCGGAGTAGAAATATGTGAAACTATGTGAAAAAAGTTCAAAAATAATAAGTAAAACGAACGCGAGTCAATCCAGCCAACAGTTCCCCCGGAGTAAATTGGCTGCTGCGTTCGCCTCACAGTCGACCGCTTGATGGTAATACCCTGTGCGACGTCGCGACTCTGTGATAAGCTGCTTACGGCGAAGGTTATCCATCGGACCTTCCACTTGTGTGTTGAATTTCTCCCCCCAATCCCCTCCAAAAATAATCAACAACGATGATAATAATGATCCTTGCGTCTGATACAGCGCCTTCTCGCGTCGGCCGCACGTCTCAAAGCGCTTCTCCGAATATACCGTGAAGCGAAATGACTGTCTTACCTCCTGGGCGAAACGCGGCAGCCAATTGCTCGCCGCAGCGTCCCCCACGCGGACGGTCGTGGATCGAGCGACCGAAGTAATTTATTACCCCCCCGTCCCGGAAAAGCGATCCGCCAACCGACTAACGACCGGTTTCCGACTTACCGCTGGGTGAACAGAGGCGCTTGTGGGGTAAGGAAACTTGCCCAGTGCTTGGCCCTGCCCGGGAACCAAACCCAGGGTCCTCTCGCTTGCGAGGCGAGCGCGTTAACTGCTGAGCTACGGGACTTGCAGAAGTGCAAGTTGTTGTCGTGGTTGCGTGGAGGAAAGGCTGCCCTTTTCCGGCCGACGAACCGCCCTGACGGGACTTCTCGTTGCAGAAACCCAAGACTCCAATTACAAGCCCGAGTCGAACTGCAAGGCCAGGAAAGAGCGGACAGCGTTCACAAAGGAACAGATTCGGGAGCTGGAGGCCGAGTTCGCTCACCATAACTACCTGACCAGACTGAGGCGTTACGAGATAGCAGTAAACCTTGACCTCACGGAACGACAGGTGATCCGCGCAAATTGCTGCCGTTGGACACAGACCGGCCACAAACGCGGCGGGCGCCTGACGCCCGCGCGGAGACCCGTCACCGTTGCTCAAGAGTTTCCAAATCGAACTGAGAATTCCACCGACGCAAGGAAATTCCAGAGATTGGCGGCATGGAGTGCTCTCTCTCTCTCTCTCTCTTTCTCTCTCTCTCTCTCTCTCTCTCGCTCTCTCTCTCTCTCTCTCTCGCTCCCTAGAGAGATGCCTCCTGCTTACCCAATTCCGGAAAGTATTGGGCGCAGGACGGCAAGAGCCAAGGCTTTCGGGGAGAGCCCAGAGTCTAACCGGATAACAGCGCATAGCTTGCTATTGAGAGCACTCCCTTTGGCCAGCTTTCCTTCTGGTTGTCCAGCTAGGACCACCGCTACCCCTTAGGGCAGGTTGTAGGTGGCGGGGGTGTTGGTGGGGGGGGGGTGGGGAGGGGGGAGAGGGCAAAAGGCAAGACATTTGCTTTTCTTGCGATCACCTCATTAATCCAGCAACAGCTCGAGCCCAGGAGCTAAGACGTGTTGGAGGGCGAGAGCGAAGCCTCATTGTCTTAATGACGTCTCTTCACCCTCAATTCCTCCTTAAAACCCAGCACATGAATCCCATCTGGGCACGGACGGAGCACACGTCCATTTGCCTCGCCAATTGTCCTGTTACTTTAAGCAGTTTGTGGTTATTATTTCTCTATATCCCTCCACCTTCCCCCCCCCTCCCCGCCCGCCCCCGATCCCAACCCCCTCCTCCTTCCCCACCTCCAGGTCACGCCCGAAGACCTTCCTCTCCGAGCGTGCCAGGCAAAGCACTCCAGCCAGCCAGCCAGGCAAACACGGGTTCTTTCCAACATACATACGTCACACTCTGACCCACGGGAACTCCAATCTGCTTCCTGCTCCCTCACCCCACACCCCCTCCCACAACCGCGCCCCCCCCCCCCCCCCCCCCCGCGCCACCCCCCACCAGGTCGTCAAAGCTTCTGAAGTCACTTCCCGCCGTGAAATAGCGTAAATTAGGCACCAACGCTGACTTGGCCGTGGAAACTTGGCTCGTAATGTGGTTCCCACTCAGCTCCTGTTAACCCTGCAAGCCAAAGCCCTAACGGATGAGGGCGGCCCTCGCTGCCAGCGGGAAGCAGCGGGAAAGGCTCACCGGACAGCGCTCTCAACGGCAAGCTCCGCGTTTTTAGCGAGTTAGACTCCGGTTAACCGTTCAATTGCTCACGGGACGACAGAACTTCCCGCCTGATGTTAGCTGGCCAAAAAAAAAACCCGGTTGATATGGTCATTGCCATCTCAAGGGTTAAAATTGCTTTGTTCCTGCAATAAAACAAGACAACTAAAAAAAAATGCAAGTTAAACACACAACCCAGGGTTCTTTGTCGAGCTTTCCTTTCGACCAGAATTTCGCTTTCCCAAACCTTTGTCGGAAAAAATGTCCCCTTTCAAGTTGTCAGAAACGTTTTTCTGAAAGTCGTGTTTTTTTTAAAAAAAAATACCAAAGCAGAAAAAAAAAATGAACGGATTATTATATTTCGGTTAAAAAAAAACTACTTCGACTTCAAAATCGCGTCCAGATAAAATGTTTACTCCAGAGGTTTGTGAACCAGCCCGGGAGGCAAAGTTTCCATGTAAAATTCCCTGTCTTTCTGGGAATCGAATGCAGTTTTTGTGGAAAAAAAACTGTTATTCATGAAAGAGGAATTTGGTTGTATAAATCCCGGATTGTGCAATCAGCAGATTAAACCTTTCTTTTCTGCAGCCCTCGTATTGATATTAGTTGTGTTTTTGCTCTGTGGTTCCCACGTATTAAGTGTGTTTGTGTGTGTGGAGGCGGTGGGGGTGGGGGGGGGGGGGGGAGCAAGGAGGACGTAGATTAACCATTTCATCTCCCAATTTACCTGGAACTAAGCTGTAGTGGTTTATTTCCATCCCCCCCCCCGTCAACGACAACAACTTGCATTTACGGGGGTTTGACTTGCAAAGCCAAACCCCTAACCCTATTGCCCCGTTCTCCCTTCCACCCCCTCCCCCTGCCTTCTCCTCCACTTTCAGAGGCATGGGGACTGTGGGTGGCGTTGGCTGGCGTGTTTGAGTGGGTGAAATTGACGTGAAATTGTCAAGCGTTACTGGGGAAGCAGAGGAAAAGGGCAATGAGCAGCTGTCACACCATTTGTTATGTTCTTGTGTTAACACCCTTCTCCATTTGCTCTCTCTCCCTCCCTCCCTCCCTCCCTCCGCAGGTAAAGGTGTGGTTCCAGAACAGGAGGATGAAGTGGAAGCGTGTCAAGGGTGGGCAGCCGATATCTCCCCACGGTCAGGAGCCAGATGACACGGACTGCCTGACCTCTCTGCCCTCCGACCCCTCGAGCCTCAGGAATGCAGATGGAAAAGGACACATGGAGAGCTTGATGGACACGAAGGCGGTCATGCAAGACAGCATCAGATAAATCCATTCACAACGGCAAGGCGGACAACCAAACAACGCACCTAGCTTCACCCAGGGCCAATTCCTTTGGCCTTGAAAGCAAATTGGATCGTTGCGTGCAGTCAACATGGACTCATCCATCTTCGAACCTTCCCCCTCCCTCCCCTCCTCACCCACGTACCTTTTCCCCCTTCTAAAAACAGGGGGAACTGTGGACATAGACCTTTCCGTTTCGGTAAGCAGGAGGAGAGGGGCCAGAGGAAGAACTGGAACGTGTAATGTACCCGTTAACCCTTCCCCACGGACTGTTGTTTGCCCCCGTAGCTGCTTAAGAAGAAGCTCGTCGAGGCAGAACAATGGGAACAACCGGTGGATCTATGGAAATTATCCATGACAAGACGTGAACAGCCTCCCTCGATTTTTTTTTTTTCGCGTGCGCGCGTGTGTGTAGTTAGAAATTGTCCCGACGTGTCTCATGGACTTATAAGGAAAAATAAATTGATTTAGTGAAACGGAGCATGTCACATGAGAGCGCGTGATGGCGTGTCAGAGCGTGTGCAGTAACCCAACCCGCGTGTGACGGTTGACCGCGCCTCCCATTCGGTTCTGGTACCTCGCAATTTCTCGCCGTTGTTGTCTGTGGAATTTACTTGTTGGAGGAGGCTGAGAGAGAGCATTCTGTTGCTCATCAGCGGCCATGAAATTTCACCGTGTGTTTGAGCCCATGAGAGAGAGATTTGGCCTCCAACGTAAGACCGTTTACAGAATTACGGATTTCTCTCATTTTTGTTCTTTAATTTGGCCTTAATTTGGAAAGTGGGTTCTGTTTAAGAACGGCAGCCCCCAAATCAGGACCGAAGCCCCCAAATCAGGATTGAATTGAACCAAATTTGGCTCAAATCTTTTAAAAAAGAAGACCCTTTAAGACCGGACCCCGTTTCAGGCGGAGACTGGGTGAGATTTTGCGTCTCTTTTGTTGCTGAGGTAGAGAACACGTCATCGCGATCAGAGCACCAACACTCCCAACGCCAGGCATGTGTTCTGCAGGCAAACCCGATAGCCATTTTTGCACACCCCGATGCCTTCACAAACAGCCATCAAGCGAGTGACTGATCGGTTGCTTCTGGGGGAATTGTCGGCCAAGGCAACGGGAGACAGAGAGAGACAGAGACAGAGAGAGAAAAACTCCCTTCCGTGCTGAAAATATCTGCGGTTCTCTGTTCAGTTCAGTGCCAATAGGATCTTTACCATAAACCTGCACAGGCAGCTTAGGACTGAAATGCGTGACTGATCAGACACGAGACGGAGCAAGGCCTTGTTTTGGGGCCGACTGGAGGAGTTAATTATGGTGAGCTTAGCAGGGGCCAGGCAATGTGTCGAGACAGAATTTTGTCTACCGTTTCCAACGCCCAAGTTAACACTGAGCCCAGACAGAAGCTTGTGAAAGGCTCCTCTCTCTCTCTCTCACTCCCTCCCTCCTTGTCTTGGAGGCCATTTAAAGGTGACAGGTTAAGTGGGTTTTGGCAGACGCAATCCAGTTCACATTAAGCAACCACTTGTGGCATTAAACTTACTTCCAGACTTAGAGAGCTTTAATTGCTACTAATTCAGCCGCTTTACTTAGAGTCGGCCATAAAGACAGAGCGGAACTGAGCAGAAGGGGGTGAGAGATCGGAAACGTTTCGTTTGAGCAAAAGACACAAGATGCGTTAGGAGTTGTGAGTTCAGCAGAAAAAGGGGGTCTCTCAAAAGCACTGATTCTTAAAACTGAAACACCGTTGAGAGTTTGCCAGAGAGGTCCATTGCTTTAAGCATTGGGTTCTGCCGCTGTGAAGCACTCTGAGACGCCATCTGGCGTGAAGGGCGACCGGTATGAATGCAAATTGTTGTTGTTAAGCGGTTGGAGACGGCTCTGTATAAGGGAAAGTTGTCGGCGTCGTTGCTGTCGGTTTACTTGGAGTTTGCACTCGTTAAGTGAAATGGATTATACATAACCCAGATGCCTCTTTTCCTCATGAACCATTGAGACATCAAAGAGTTACCCAACGTTTTACCGCAGTTGAGTTGAGTGTTTCGTTTATCAATCACCCAAATATACTATTTCCCCTAAACTGCCGAGAGATAAAAGTGATTGTGGAACCAGTTATAAGAAATAATAATAATAAATAGTAATAATAATACTTCAGACAATGCAGTAAGTAATGACATGCAACTAATGGATATAGAAATGCAATCGGCTCTTGTCAATGAATTATAAAACAGCTTAGAGTGGTGGGCGGGGGGGTGGGGGGTGGGGAAGAGAAGGGAAACGGAATAAGATAAGAGAGTTGTTCTGGGGAGTTAGCATGACATTGGCACAATGTAGGAGACCGGTAGCTCAGTGGTTAGAGCGCTCGTCTCGCAAGCGAGAGGACCTGGGTTCGATCAGGGCGAAACTTTGGGCAAGTTTCCTTACTCCAGACGCACGCCTCTATTTACCAAGCAGTAAGTAGGAACACAGTCGTTAAGTCGATTGGCGGAACGCTTTTCTGGAGATAAGAATCACTTTTAAAAAAAAATGAATGACGATAATAATAATAAATTGTTCACTTCAATCCACGGCTGTTTGTGGGACGCCGCTGTGCGCGATTGGCTCCTGCGTTTCGCCCCCATAAAAAAATATACAGTCGGTGCACTCATACCGTGTATCCTGTGAAGCGCTTTGAGACGTCTCGCGGACGGAATAAGGCGTTGTATCTAAATGCAAGGATTATTATTATCAGTATCAGTATTTGGTGGGCGAAAGCAAGCGGTGGGTTTGAGGACACATCTCACAGCGTAAGATTACGCGGAATCCCGCGGCAAACCAAACAAGGGCATTTGCCACGACCGAGTCGCACTGAAAGCTGGAGTGCCTCCAACAGCTGGTTGACCTTGCTGTATGTCCACATCAGTGCTTGCGTTTGATAAATTAGCGCGTTTAACAAGGTACAAATGAAAGCCAGGTTGAGGGACGTCTGTTTAAATTAAAGCGTGTCCCAGCTCGGGGCCACCTCCACCATCTGTGTGGGCCCCGAGTGTCCCCCTGTTATTGTTTTGTGAAGAAACATTTCGGCCCGGAACATCAAAGCCGACCGACCTCTAAACCCGCGAGTGCTCTGACATCCGTGGGGGTAAAGGTTATCGTAGCTGGATGTGGGAAACCGCAGAAAAGTAAACCTAAAACACACGCCCTTCTCCTTGACAGACCGTCAATAATAATAATAATAAAAATAATAATAATCCTCGCATTTGATACAGCGCCCGATCGGGTCTTCGAGACGTTTCAAAGCGCTTCGCAGCAGATACCGTAGAGTCAGATCGACTGCACACGTTATGGGCGAAACGAATGAAAGAACTGATTCGAGGATTTTCTCACTTCTGCGTGAGCTTAAAGTTAAAGACTCGGACGGCTCAGGGCCGGAGATCGGCTGAAAGTTTCGGGGCCTCGGAGATCGATGTGGACTTTGGATGGTTTCTCTGCTGGTTTGCAGCTAAGTGCAGGCAGGATCAGCGCTGATAAGATTGATTAACGATTGAGTAGAATTGGGCTTTGCTAAGTTTTCTGAGACCTGGAGCTCCGCTGAACAGTAGGGTTCAGTCAAGATCCAATGGGTGGATCTCAAGGTTGGACCCAGCCCAAATACTGTGTGGTTTGTTCACCGCAAACCCCAAACCCCGTTGTTTTCCTCAAAACCTGAGGGTAAAGATAAGACGTCACACCGAGCTCCCCACCAGTGGCTCAGGTGGACGTTAACGTTCCCACGGCGCTGTTCGAAAAGAGAAGGAACTTTCTGTCCCTCGCATCCTTCAAGGCCCATCTCGAGACCCTCCTCTCCGATCGAGCCTTCGGTCACTCTCCTAACCCTTACGCTCCCTGCCCTCCAGCCCCTCCTGATCCCAAAGTTGGGATAAAAGTTCCTTCAATAAAGTCCAGTAATGCTCTGGAAAAGTTTCCTTCTCTTTTTTTTTTTCGCCCGCAGTCTCTGTTGTGTTTCGACTGTTATTTTTAGCCACCTGCTGAACAGCCTGGGATATGATGTGTATATGTGTGTGTGTGTGTGTGTGTTTTATGAATGAACTGTTTCTTTTCCAACACATGTTTGGGAAGTTTGGGAAGTTGGTTGGTCGGGAGTGGGTGCGCTATGTCTTGCACACATCCTCCCAGAGCAGCAATTTGAAAAAGGGGGGAAAACAGATCTGCTCTTTCAAAAAAAAAAAGAGCTGGGGGAGGAATATGTGTGCATGTGTGTGTGTGTGGGAGGGGGTCGGAATGAGGAGGGAGGGAGGGAGGGAGGGAACGGGAGAAAGGAGAAAGGAGAAAGAATGCAGTTGGACCTCGCCGGGGCTCGGGCTGAGCTGAAAAACAGGGGTCTGCTCCGAAAACAATTTACAACCCCTGTGTGGTAAATAAATCACTCACTTCCACCCTGTTCTGATCACCCGGGACAAGCCACGATCATGCAGCCCGGCATTAAATAACCTGCCTTCCTGTGTTTCGGACGCTTTGCGGTCGGTTTTGTTTTATCGTTGCTGTCAGTCCTCTTTTATTTTTTGTTTCTTGGTGTTTCCTGAAACTCCCTCCCTCTCTCCCTCCATCCCCCACCCCCGCACCCTTCCCCTCGCCCCCAAAAAGCTTAGCCCCGAGATTGCGTTTCAGCTTCAGCCCCAGACTTTCAACGTTCAACCTTCAAACAACGCAGCTGTTACGAGCCGCGTAGGAAAGTACACCGTACAGTTAGCTTTGATTCCCTCCTTTGTCTGTCCTCTGCTGAGTGTGACTCGGAGCGTGCAGCGAGCGGAGGTTTTGTGGTACGCCGTCCTTTCCCCAAAGTGCCGCACAGGGTTTACCGTGAAGTGTCGTGACTGCGTACACTTCCGAGCCAAATGAGGCTGACAGTTTGCGAAGACCAACGTCCCACAAACAGCCGTGAAACGAGTGACCGATTTTATTTGGTGGGTGGAGGTGGGGGGGGGTGGTCTGTGGGGGTGGAATCGTTGGCTAGGACACCGGGGGGAGGAGAGGTGGGGTGTGAGAGAGAGAGAGAGAGAGAGGGGGAGAAAGAGTAACTCTCATCTCTTTCCGAATAGCGCCGCGGGATATTTGACGTCCACCTGAACAGGCGCAGACGAGGCGTGAGGTTTAACGTCTCATCCGAAGGTCGGGGTCTCGACAAGGCAACGCGCTTCGCTGCGCGCCTTTTGCTTTTTCGCGCAGGGCGAATGATTCCCCTCGGATCTGCCTCTCGGCTCCAGCTACCCCGCTTAAGGAAGAGACAGTAAAAAAAATATTTCTTAGAAACCGTACGGATTTGCCTGGGGTCTGGAATAAGCTCCTAGTGTTACCTCGGCTAAGCCGCCTGCACATAAAACAGTCAGTGACAGGCTATCGGCTTACAGGTTGTATACGTGAGTTATAGTGGTGCGGAGGTTCATAAGGTGGTGTCCGTTGCAGGATTCTACACAGGTGCCTTTTTTTTTGCGAGTTTCTCTA